CGTCTCTTATTCAACAGCAAAGTTAAATATATTAATAAATGAAATATGTATGGAAAATTAATTCACAATATTTGACAGCAAAAAAATATCATCAATAACAAAATGCTATTCAATTAATTTTCGGACACTCTACTATAAATGAAATAAAATTTTTTTTGGTATTTCAAACTCACAGTCAACCGTTTTCTCAATGTGTCTTTTGGGCTGGTTAATAATAATAAGTTAAGAAAGATTCTGTGTGAATGTTATCTGAACTTGGTTTGCATTATATGACGATGTCGGAATGTGAATGAAAAGCAGCTGACTTGTTTTCTGTCTCGCAGTTTCTTTCACAAAATGGGTTTTTGGGATTATCTTAATTTTAAAAATGTTGAATTTCCTTCAGGTTTTTAACTAAGCAAGTTAACTTGATGACCTGATGTTTTGCAAACTATTAATCAAATAGTTACAAAACAAACTGGAGTATTCTCAGCGCTTGATGCACTTTGTCTATATATAGTTGTTATTATTATGAACCACATGCTCAGATAGGTGTTGAACAAGCTAATAATCTAATAATACTATTTAGATGGAGTTTTGGTTGTTCATAAAAAAGTTGCATAGACAGCACAAAGAAGAGAGAACAACGGGCAAAGAGAGAGAGCGGGCTGCAAGAATTTTTTTTTTATTTTAGCTTAAAGTATTTCTAGCTTAAAGTTTTGCATATCCTATATTTAATAATTATAATATATACATACCTTATGGAAAAGTCCATTGATAAGCGCTTAAATTGCGCCGTTTTCGCCAGACTGAGATTCAAAGTCTGGTTATCAGCTCATCAGCTGATATGCGAAGCATGCCCCAATGTAGCCGCTGCTAAGGCCGCAAAGGTACTACCCGCAGGTGCTTGAACTAAGCCCACCTGAGGTTTATGCCAGTATTGGTACAATTGATGGGTAGATAGGTAGGCAGATAGGCGACTCGATAAATGATAAACGACGGAATTGCCTGAGCATTATTAAGTTATTTCTGTTATCGGTAGCCAAGACCATGGCACACTATAAAAAGGCCCGATGCGTGGCACAGTCCAAGGAGATAGCATTTGCAGACCTCAACATGAAGTTCACATTATTTGCCCTGTTCGCAGCCGTCTGCGTGCTCAGTGTAAGTATTTGACCAGGTCTCAAGCGAATGGGTTAGATTGAGGATAAACGATTCGTTTGCTCCAAACAGGTCAATGCTGGCACCTGGCAGCCGTTGATGATGGCGCCGGACACAGGTGTACAATACGAGCCCAGCGATTTCGCTGATATCGATGGGGAGACCTTCGATCCGGAGGTGTTCAGCATCTTCTCGGCCACGTGGTGGGCCATTAAGGCGGCTCTGCGCAGCGTTAAGGGCTTCAACTGCATACTCAAGTGGGTTGTGGGCATCAAGGCCAGCGCTCTGCAGTACAATGCCGATATCATTGCCTGCGGCGTCGATGCCAGCCAGGATGTAACCAATCTGATCAATGCCAACCTGAAAATCATCAGCACCGCCAACAACATCATCAACCTGAAGTCGAACATTTGCGCCAGCGCCGAGGAGCCCGAGGAGCAGAAGATCACCAACAGCTGTGCCGTCAAGACCTTGGCCCAGGTCTTCAGCCTGTACAGGCAGGTGAAGAAATCCATTGCCCTTGCCAAGAAGATACCCCAGACTGGCCCCAATGCCATCTCCTGTGTCACCAATGCAACAAACAACCTGACCAGCTACTACACACAGTTCCCCGCCAACATAAAGGCCTGCTCCAAGCTGACCAGCTCCTAGACAGCCAGCAGTCTGGTCATAACCGTTAACCATATCTTTTTTTTCCACTATATACCCATATGAAGAGTAAATAAAAATGGAAGAGTCAATTGGTTTTGGGCATTTGATAAGGCTTTAAATCGTTTGGCTCTTAACTCAACGATAACAACTGCACAGCTGCAAACACTTAGTTTACTTAAAGAACTGATAAAAAATAATAGAGCTCTTGAGCTGAGAAATGTTCTTGTGAATATCGTAAATCCAGAAGCTTTTTTTCTACAATAGAAATTATTTGAAAACTATTAAATATTCACATAAGTATTACTAGCGGGTGTTGCCCGGCCTTGCCCGGGCACGTGCGTTAATCACCACTATGTCAGTAAGTCAGAGCAAACTGTTTTATGTACATTTAGTTTATATGTACTCAATAATTATTATATGGTTTTTGTTAACTTTAGCTCAATCTACTCTCCACAACATAGTCGCGAATTTGAATACGCAAACTCATTTGCCAGCCCATCCATTATACGATGTCAAATACAATAATACGGACAAAACAGCCTTTTATCAATTCCTATGTCCATACAAATATGTACATGTATTTATGAATACCTATATATGTATACATATATATGTTTCTATGTCCATATGTGTGTATGTATGTATACATATGTATATAGTTTGATATAAAAACGTAGACCTTGTTAACCTTTCGCTGCATTGCAAATGAAATAGAAATGTATTTTGCAATATCTACCTACTATGCAATTCTTATGATGTATGAGTGGATGTATGTATTTCTGTATGTGTACATGAATTATGTGTGGGTGTTTGAAGGCATGTATGTTGTAGTGTAAATATGTTAGTATGTAAAAATTAAAGAATTCAAGCTTGTAAGTATGCTTGTCTGTCTATTCGTTTATTTGTATGTGTGTATGTGTTTATTTATGTATGCAATTAATTTTGTATGTAACACCCCCTGTGCTACGAATGAAAAAACCGTAAGGTTGCTCTCGTATTTCATTTATTTACTAATATTGTAAACAAATTGTGTAGTATTTGTATGCCCTGAACCCATTAAAAATGGGTATAAGGGTATATTGTATTTGTGCAAAATCCAAATGTATGTAACAGGCAGAAGGAAGCTTCTCCGACCCCATAAAGTATATATATTCTTGATCAGCATCAATAGCCGAGTCGATCTAGCCATGTCTGTCCGTCCGTAAGTATGAACTCAAGGATCTCAGAACCTATAAGTGCTAGAGATCTGAAATTTTAGATGTAGGTGCTCTTAGTGCCTGCGCAGATCGAGTTTGCTTCCGATAATCAATAACTTAATCCGTTTCCAAGCAATCGATAAAAATCGATATCGATATCATGTTTTTTGGGCAATTTTGGTAAATAATAAGAGCTAGAGTCACCAAACTTGACATATAGCTTCTAAAATAGAATATATATATGCATTTGATGTTTGAAGAAGAGGGTTCAGGGTATCCCCTAGTCGGCAGCTCTCGACTAGAGCCTCTTACTTGTTTTTTAAGTATATATGTTCCTTATAATTTTGAGATACAGTATGTCAATAAAGTGTTTTTACTAACAAAAAAAAACTAATTTTTTGGGTTTAGTTGAAAATAAATGTACCTAAAAGTAAGAATTTTTTTTCAATTATAATTTATTTCGATTCTATATTTTTCCTAGAACTTAATGGCAAAAAGAATTGTTAAATAACATTACCCAAACATTTTATAAAATTAAAAAACTAAAAACATTCACATTTTATGCTGTCAATAAAGTGTTTTTACAGCTACGGTAAATTGTTTTGCCGTTCTCTTTTGGGTGATCCCGTTAGATTTGGGCCCATGCGTTTTGGCTTCTCTTGTGTCTTCGACTTTTCTTGTCATTTTCTATTGCAATTTATAACGTTTTGCTTTAATTTTATGAAAAATAAAATGCCAGGAAAAAGAACAACTTTTGAAGTCGCTCAGCTGGTGTATTATAACCATCAGATGGGACGTCAAGTCTCGGAACTGGCTGATATGTTTAATTTATCAAAAGCAACGATATACAACAAATTAAACAGAGCCAATAAGGAAGATAGGCTAGAGGCAAAGCCAGTATGTGGTCGACCCTGCAAAATTTCTGACAGAGATAAGCGAAAAATTCTGAGAAAAATTGAGAAAAATCCACAAATTTCGCTTAGGGATATTGCTCAGGAGTTCAAGGAAGAAAGTGGTGTTGATGTGTCACATGAAACTGTCCGAAAATTACTGAATTCCAATGACTACACATCACGAGTTGCCAGGAAAAAACCTCTACTATCGGCGGCGAATATTTTGAAGCGGCTATCGTTCGCTCAAGTCCATGTAAATAGTTCGAACGATTTTTGGAGTAACGTCATATTCTGTGACGAAAGCAAGATGATGCTATTCTACAACGATGGGCCATCCAGAGTCTGGAGAAAGCCACTAACAGCGTTGGAAAACCGCAATATTATTCCAACCGTTAAATTCGGAAAACTATCAGTGATGGTGTGGGGGTGTATTTCGAGCAAGGGTGTAGGAGATTTGACCTTCATTGAGAATACCATGGATGCTAGACAATATCTGAGCATTTTACAGACACATCTCGTCAGTAGTGCACAGAAATTTGGATTCTATGAGGGCAATAAGCCAATTTTTAAATTTTACCAGGACAATGACCCGAAGCATAAAGCTCATATGGTAAGAGTTTGGCTGTTGTACAACTGTGGAAAGGTGTTAGACACTCCACCACAAAGTCCAGATATGAATCCAAAAGAAAATGTGTGGTCATATTTGAAAAAAAAATTCGCAAAGCGGAGTCCAAAATCAAAAACTGATTTAAAAGCTGCTGTACTGGAAGAATGGCAGAAGATTCCAGAAACATACATACAAAACCTTATTGTTTCAATGAAACGGCGATTGCAGGCAGTATGTGACGCTAATGGCAGCCACACAAAGTATTAAAAAAAAATATTCCTGTTTTTTTAACATTGTTATTTAGTAATAAAGTTTCGTGTAAAAACACTTTATTGACAGCATAAAATTTGAATGTTTTTAGTTTTTTAATTCTATAAAATGTTTGGGTAATGTTATTTAACAATTCTTTTTGCCATTAAGTTCTAGGAAAAATATAGAATCGAAATAAATTATAATTGAAAAAAAATTCTCACTTTTAGGTACATTTATTTTCAACTAAACCCAAAAAATTAGTTTTTTTTCGTTAGTAAAAACACTTTATTGACATACTGTACGTTTACATTTCATCGACGCAAGTGTTGATATTGGGCAAGAAATTGTTAAAGCTGATCTTAACATCGTTTGTTGCATCGAGAAAGCAAGAGCTGGTGTCGGAGGGCAGCTTGGCGATCTGCTTCAGGGTGGTGTTGATCTTTCTGGTTAGCCTCATGACAGCCTTGAACAACTGCCAGAAGCACTTCTTGGAGGACATCTGGTTGGAATCGGGCTCATCGGCGGTGCACAGCTTGCTGTTCAGATTGATGATATCGTTGCAGATGGAGATGATGGTCTTGCAGGACTTGACAATGGCAGCCACATCCTTGGGCACGGCTGTGCCGCAGGCATCAATAGCATCCACATAGTTGGTGGCCGCGGACAACACCTCGATGACCTCCTTAATGGTGCAGTTGACGCCGCGCACTGTTTTCAGCACCTTCTTGAGGGCCTTGCGCACCGACCTGATGAAGCCAAACTCCTCCACATCCATATAATCGCCCTCCAGTTCATCAATCAGTGCATCCAAATCTACATCCTCGAAATTGATCGAATCGTCCACCGTTGCCTTGGCCTAAAAGACAGCAGTTTGTATATAGTTACTTTTGTTCCAATTTCCTATCGCTTGATGTTTACTTACATTCGTGCTGATCAGGTAGCTGGCCGAAACGAGCAGCAAAAGGCAGAGTGTAATGGTTCTCATAGTGTTTGGCTATCTGAACTGTGGTTGCAGAATGATCGACTAGACTGACGGCTCTTCATTTTTATAAAGATTGCCCTATCACTTGGCCCTATCACTGTGAAGTGCTCACGCGTGAAGTGGTTCCATTGTTTACCCCGATTTATCTATAGCCATTTGTATACCTATAAATATTTCGTATACTATATACCTGTTTATGCTAACATGAAAGTGTTATTTTTTTTATCAATAAAACATTGCATATACGTACGGGCTAGCCGTCTTAATTAATCACTTAAAGTCTACCAAGATTAATAAATATCAATTGAAAAAAAAATAAAATTTTAAACCGATTCAAAGTGTGCTCTCATTTATCAATAATGGACAATTGACTTTATCATGACTTTAAATGCTTTAAGTGCTTGCAAGCATTTGACTGAGAACGCTTGTAATTATTCCAAATACATCTTTCGTCAAGGTTCCTATGGAAAGCACTAACAGGAACGCTGTCTTTATTTAAAAGGCCCGCTTCGAAAGGAACCAAGAATATTATGGGTAAAATAAGTTTGATTGTAGAATGGTATTTCTCTTTGAACTCGTTCGAGGCCCGACATTTGAAAACAACATAACTCCGCCGTGGATCATGGCGAGAAAATGTCGTTTTAAAGCGACATCTACCCCTTAGACTACCACGAATTTGTCAAAACTCTGATCGATTCTGAAACATGGTATCTCGCCGAAGAAAAGTTTAAGTATCTTTCATATGTATAGTTTTATTTTAATCATATTATTGAGCCATGTATAAAAACAAATAACAATGATATAAAAAAAAAAAAAAATTGAAACTTAAATAAGTAATTATGATTCAAGTCGATAGTTAGATGATATCGTTAATGTATAATAATAATCGATAGTCGAATAATCGAGATTCGCACAACACCAAATTGGAATTTACTGCAAGTTTAAATAATTATGAATATTAATGCAAACCGATTGATTTTTTATAACATAGGAATAACAATAATAAAAAAAAAAAAATTATATCCGTATAATAATTTCTACATAGTACATACACAATATCTCAATCGTATATTCATTCATTTTCTTTCGGTTTTTTTTTTTTTACTTTTTTGGGTCTAAAGCTTGCCTTGGATCTCGAGCTGGTTTGGCGAAACGCTTGCCACTCCTCTGGAGCACGCGGATGCGTTTAACACAATACATATATGGATTACTTAAGATTATAATATGTATATATATGTGTAATTCACTCGCATATCGAAATATTTATCATGTGATTTAATTGCACATTCGTTAAGTTAAATATATTCGTATTAAAGAAAAAAAAAATAAACAAAAAAATGCACTAAAAGAGACTTAAGCGCGGAGACGGCCAACTCAGATCAAGCTCAAGCGACTATTGGTCTTGCGAAGCTGTGCACGCCAGGGAATGATGTTGTCGCTATCATCCTGATCGTCCTCGCCCTGATCCAGTGCATCCTGTTGTTGTTGCTGCTGCTGCTGCTGTTGCTGCAGTGGTGGCTCGCAATCGCCGGCCTTGGCTGCTGTAGAGCCCTCGTTGTGATTCTCCTTGTTGCCCTGTGGATGCGCCTGCTGCTGGAGCAGCTGCAGCTGCTGATAGTGCTGCTCAACGTTGAGGCCGCCGCCAGCGCTGCAGGTGGCCAGATTGATATTATCGATGGACATGGCGCGATTCTTGAGCCGCCAGGTGTCCGCAACGCGATTGTTCTCCTCCACTTTGGGCGTATAGATGGCCGCTCTGCAAAATGGCACAGACAGCGAGCACAGGTCAGAGAGAGGATTCCGCCAGCTGCGCCACCTTATGCCCACACACCCCAGCACTTACTTCAGCTTGTTTTCAGTTTCTTCGCGACGCGCCAGCAAGTCGCGTTTCCATTGGGGTATCTGCGAGAGGCGACGCGACTCCGCCTCCTGGGCCATGCGATCCTCAAAGTCCTTTTTGGCCCGCTCGGCTGCCTTCTTTGCCATCATCTGGCGCTTCCAGTCGGGTATGGCATTGCCGGCCTGATCCTTTTCTGGTATCTGTAAGTAGATCTTTGATACGCATGATAATCCAGTTCGCAGCCCCCATCCCGCAGCCCGCTCAATCGGCACGGCGACCTTGTGACTCACCTGATCAACATAGTTGTTGGCCGTAAACTGTTTGGTTATCTCCATATAATGTTCCGAGTCCATGCGATTGGCCATCTGCTGTTCGACCTTCATTTTCTTAATGCCGGGTATATCCTTCGAGATCTTCAGCTCGGCTATCAGATCCGTCTTCAGATATGTGTCCGAGCTGGTCGTCAAACACTGCATGCTCAGACTGCGTGCCGGCATCTGGTAGGGCTTCGGCACCTTCTGTGTGTCCGTGCGTCGCAACTGTGCAGAAATTGAAATGGGATCAGGGATTTGGTTAGTGATCGAATTCCTTGCTAGGGTTCTTGCTGTCGCTTAAACTATTATATCCGATATCTGGGAATATATATATTCTACACAACAGGGTAAATGTTGCCAGTCTTTTATCCGATCCCACAACAGCTTTAAGATTAGGTAATCCGCCTTCGTTCGATATTTGCTTAGTGGAATTTCATTTCGTTAACTATGTATGCTAATCCAAGTGTGTTTTAATTTAGTTAAAACGTTGCGAAAAAAATAATAAAACTTGTATTTGATGATTTTATGTAAGATATAGAAGATATATGAAAAGCAAACCAACTTATTTTTGTACGATTGTATCAGTGACTACATGATTTGGCTATTCGATCGAATCGGTTTTAAAACTTAATACTTGGGCACTAGATAACCGCCTATACATATGAAAAAGTTTATTCTAGCTGACTGAATGACTGACCGACTGACCGTAACAGCTAGAAAGCTGAATGCTTGAATAATTCCACCCGCAAACGTGGAAAATTTGTGGAAAACGAATCCTTAAATCCAATCGGCAACCACTTCGATCAGACTCAAATTAATTTGTAATGATCTTTGTTAAAATTTCATCTAGATATTTGTTAAAGTCCGGGATGTGTGTCACACATTTCACAAAACCCACAAGGTTGAAATCACGGGTCAAAGATGGGCGAATGTTCAAGAAGATTCCGATAGCCAAATGTTTTGAAAAGCTTTTTAACAAATAATACGTGTAGATCCGATTGGTTTCAAGTTTCGAAGATTGAACTCTCATTTAATCGGCTTTAAACTTATTTTGCAAGTTTAAAATATGAAGTAGCCGGGTTATACCCGCTAGTATTTCGCTGGCCATTCTATCTGGGATACAACTCACCTGTACACTGTTCAGATCCTGTATGGAAATTGCGGACAGCGGCTGATGCTGCTTGCGCGTCGCCGTATCCTGGCTGCTGGGCCCAGCTGAGCCGTGCGGCTTCTTGGGCTTCTGTGACTTGCTGGTCGCATCGCCAGCCATGGCCGACAGCATCATTGGCATTGGGGGCGGCATCATATGCGGCAACGGGGGCGGCGGTGGCGGCAACGGCGGCTGCTCGCCCACGCCCAAAGCATGCGAATGATGCTGATGCTGGTGCGGATGCTGGTGCGAATGCTGATGGTGATGATGCTGCTGCTGTGCGATCTGGATTTGCATGTAGTCCTCCGTATCCGTGGAGCTGCAAGGATTGATAAATATTTGATCAAAAGCTGTGTGGGTGTGTCTCAGTCAGCGTGTGAATGTGTTTGTGGCATAAATGTGGGAGTGGGCCGGACCTGCGCCAGGCGTGTCGTGTGCGCAGTATCATCTTTGGATTGCAACTGATCGGAGCGAGGCGAACCAGTTGGCAAAAGTGGCCTGGCATGCAGCACGCATAAAATTTCATGCACTCTTGAGCCGCTGAGGAAGTGTGGCCGACTCGCGACTCGCGAGTGCTGCTGTTAATTGCCCCCATCCCGCAGCCAGCCCCCAGCCATGCCCCAGCCAACGATCGGCGTGAGCATGCGCTGGCATTATCTGCAGCTTAATTAAGGCAACTGTACTTCTGCCACTTTTGGTGGTAATTACTTATGTTGCCGTCGCACGAGATGTGCAGCCAAATTAAAAAAAAAAAAAAAACAACAAAAACAAAAACTAAATAAATAACAGCTATAGCTGCATCTCAACTCTCTGATGTAGCTGGGAGCTAGAGGTAGAGCTGCAGCTAAAGCTGGAGCTGGCACGGCTTTCTTAACTTACCGGGCCGAGGATGGACACGAACGCTTATCGCTTATGCTCTTTAGATACTCCGACGGCTTGATGAGATGCGTGACGCCGTCTTGTGATTTGTTGGGAAAACTGGGCGGCACAAACGGCAGCACCAGCTGCTTGTTGACCAAATTGGGGCCACCAGAGCGCACGCCAACGCCGACGCCGGCGCCCTCCCCGTTATAGCTGCCTCCATACTGCGACTGCTGCAGTTCGTAGTGATCCTCGGCGGATGAACCCACGCCGTAGATGCTGTGCGCATAGACCGACTGTTGCTGCTGGTGATAGTGCGAGGGCTGATAGCTGCTGCTGCTGTTGCTGCCGTTGCGTTGCTTGCTGCCCTCCGCATAGCCATAGATGCTGCCATTGGCATGCTGATAGTGCCCCTCCCCGTTGCCAGCTGTGGCAGCTGCTGCTGCTGCTGCTGCGTCAGCAGAGGCGCCTCCATTACCGTTGCCGCTGCTATTGCCGTTGCCGTTGGCGTTGCCATTGCCATTGAGGAGCTTGGCTTTCTTGTTCGCTGGAATTGAACAAATTTATTTATGAGATTTAAGTCTTGTCTGCGTTAACTACTTATTGTGGGTTAGCAGTTATCCCAGCTCTTTGGTCACGCTAACTTGAGCCACAAGAGCACACACACACGCACACACACAGCACACTCTCAAAACACAACTCATTGCGTATGCAGCCTGTGCGACGCCTTTCACCAAAATTGCAGAATGGCGTTAATGGATTTCGACTACATCTTAACCAAATGCAGAGCTCTAAAATGCAGTTGTTGCCAAACCATCTAGCTTAGGGTGGAGCGAGCCAGATGATTAATGGCCATAAGTGGTTTCAAAGT